TGCCGTGCCCCCCGGCTCGGCCAGCAGCCCAGGGGTTAAGGGGGCGAGGAGGTTCGGGTCACTTCCCCCGGAGCTTTAGGAGGAAAGTTCCCTCCCGCCGGCGCTGAGCTGGCGGAGCGGAGAGCCCCGCAGCTGCCTGCGCGCAAGGAGGGCGCAAGGAGGGCGCAGGGAGGGCGCAGGCAGCGCGCAAGGAGGGCGCAGGCAGCGCGCAAGGAGGGCGCAGGCAGCGCGCGGTCCTGAGTGCCCCGATGGGGACGGGGCGGGCGGGACCCCCCTCGGAACTCCCCCCGTGGCCCCTCGCTCCCCGCGGCTGAGCGCAGGAAGGTGAGTGGGGGACCGGAGGGGGGGGGCAGACCCGAACCGGGAGTCCCCACCCCGGGAGCTTGGGCCAAGCCGGGGAAGGGGCCGTGTGGGTGCGTGAAGGGGCCGGCACGGAGCCGTGGGGTCCGTGTGCGGGGGGGGTTACAGAGGACGTGTGTGTTGGGGAGGTTCTTGGGGGGGGCTGTCCACGGGGGTGCATGGGGTTATGGGGCTGTGGGCTGTGTGTGCATATGAGGTTATGGGGCATGTGGGGCCAGAGCCTCCGGGGAGCTGTGTGTCCCACGCCCAACATGTGTGCCCTGTGTGTGGGATGTGGGACACGGGACACGCGTGTGCGCCACCTTCCAGGGCTCCACGGAGGAGGGGGCCTGTGTGCATTGGGGTGGGGGTGTGTGGGGTGGTGCAGGCAGTCTGGGGAGGAGGCTTTGCTGGTGTGAAGGGGGGAGAAGTGTGTGAGGGGGCCAGTGCTGGGGCGAGCTGGGGTGGGTGCCCACCATGGCCAAAGGGGTCCTGGGGTAGGGGGGGGAGCCAGGGCAGGTGGGGGCACAGTGTGCCCGTCGGAGCAGGACGGAGGGTGTGCGGGGTGGCCAGCACCCTCCTGGCTGGCTGTGGCCCCCAGCCCCAAGGGGCTTGGTCATGGTCCAGCCGTGATTTGGCGTAGGCTGGTCCCCAAACCCCATGCCTTTGGCCAAGGGGAGGGCAGAGAGTGGGGCAGGTGAGGGGACAGCCATGCTCTGCAGGGCAGGGGTGTCCTGGGAACGCCGCAGCATGCCGGGGCCGCTGTGCCAGGAGCAGTGATGCCAGCAGGTGCCACTGGGTGCTGCCGAGAATGGGGCACGGTTCCCTGAGGACACGGCTCGGCCTCGCCCCGGCCGTGCCTCCACCAGCAGAACGTGCCCGTGTCACCCCGCGGAGAGATCAGATCCTGGGAAAAGGAGTTTCTGTTCCCGGTTTGAGACCCGGCGCCTCCCTGTCCCCACCCTGTCCCTCACGGGGACTTTGCTCCTCGGCTTCTGCTGTGCCCCCGCTGACACCCCAGCCCGGGGGACCCCTGGCAGACCTCCTGGGGGTGACCCACAGGGTCTGGGGGGGCTTGGGCTGCTTTCCCTGCCAGGGCAGAGCTCTGGGGGGAAGCATGTGCCCCCACCCCCCGTGACAGTGCCCCAGCCCTGGAGGGTTTGCATGGCTCCCCCAACGGCCGGGGGGTCTGCGCCGCGGGGTGCAGGTGAGGCTGCGTCCGTGGGACCCTCTGTCCCCCAGCCCCGTGCTGTGCCGGTCGGGACCCCCAGCTGGCCCGGGCCGTGGCTGGTGGGAGGACCGAGTGTGGCCCCATGGCATGTGCAGGCTGCTGGGTGCCACGGGCCACAGGCACGTGCCTGCTGGGGTGGGCCCACGGAGCCCGGAGTTTGACCCCCGTGTGTGGGCCTGGCCATGCGACCTTGGACTTTGCGAGGGCTGCGGGCAGGGCGGGCTCCCCGGCTCCACCCGGACCCCCCGCGGCTTCCCCTTCCCGCTCTGCCCCCCTGCTCCGTGGGGCAGCCTGGCGGGGGGCAGCCCAGCCAGCGTGCCTGCCCGCCGTGCCCCCAGCCCCAGCAGCAGCAGGTGCCTCACAGGCGGAGGGGCAGCCGGGACCCCCTGGCAGTGGCACAGACCCTGTGGAGGGCAAACATGGCGACACTGAGCCAAAGGCCGGGCTTGGGTACCAGGCTCCTTGGCGAGGTGGGGACGTGGCCGCCGGCTGTGACCACCCGCTCTGTCCCTCCTTTTGCAGGGCCCAGCGCTTGGGAGGGACCCCCGGAGTCCTGGCCCATGGCCTGTGCCCACTCCCATCCAGCCCATCCCTGAGGGTGCAATGCCCAGCTGCCTCCCGCCATAGTGGCACGGGGTGTCAGTGCTCGGCAGGGCCAGGAGGAGGGCGGGCAGAAAGCTCATCCCGGGGCCCTCTGCCCCCCCGAGCCTCATGGTAGTTTAATACTTCACCCATTAACTTGGACTAATAAACCTCGTGGGAGCAAGAGGCTAAAAGCCGTGCCAGGCGGGCAGCCCCTCCTGCGCGAGCACTGCTCCCACAGCACAGCCATGGCAGCCGGCTTCTTCATCAGTAAGACCGTGGGCATCGTGGCCATCGTGCTGGGCGTGGGGGCCGTGGCCACCATCATCGCGCTCTCGGTGGTGTATGCCCAGGAGAAGAACAAGGTGACGGACACTGGCAACACCGAAACCACCACCACGGCCACCACCACCACGGCCACCACCACCACCACGCCCGACCCCAGCCTGCCCTGGAACCGGTGGAGGCTGCCAACAAATCTGATGCCAGAGCTCTACGAGGTGACCCTGCAGCCCTTCCTGAAGCCCGATCTCAACAACATGTACATCTTCAAGGGCAACAGCAGCGTGGTCTTCGTCTGCAAGGAACGCACCAACCTCATCCTCATCCACAGCAACAAGCTCAACTACACCATGCAGGGGTCCTTCATGGCCTCGCTGGAGGCGGTGGACGGCTCCAGCGTCCCTCGCATCACCAAGACCTGGCTGGTGCCCCTCACCCAGTACCTGGTGGTGCAGCTGGATGGTGAGCTGCAGCAGAACCAGCGCTACCGGCTCTCCAGCAGCTTCACCGGGGAACTGGCCGACGACCTGGCTGGCTTCTACCGCAGTGAATACGTGGATTCCGGCGAGACGTAGGTGGAGGGCAGGGGGGTGAGGAGCTGGGCTGGGGATGGCGGGGGACACCGGGCAGGTTTGGGGCTTCTCTCCCACTGGGGTGGGTGTGGGGAAGTCTCTGTGACCCCTGTGTCCCCGCATCACCCCAGAGAGGAGGGGATGGGGGAGCGGGCAGGGTGGAGGGAGCTGGGGGGATGCCAGCCCGGCAGACGACCGCTGGCAGTGATGGGGTTTGCTTGCAGGAAGGTGGTGGCCACCACGCAGATGCAGGCGGCTGACGCGCGGAAAGCCTTCCCCTGCTTTGATGAGCCAGCCATGAAAGCCAACTTCTCGGTGACGCTGATCCATCCCTCCGACCACAGCGCCATTTCCAACATGCCTGCCAAGAGTGAGTGGGGTGGGGGGAGCCCCGGCGGGGGGGTCCAGGGGCCTGGCAGGGCTGCGTGGTGACCCCCCTGCCCCCCGCTCCCCGCAGGAAGCCAGCAGGTGGTGATAGACAAAGAGAATTGGACCATCACCGAGTTTGAGACCACCCCCAAAATGTCCACCTACCTGCTGGCCTTCATCGTCAGCCAGTTCAACTACACGGAGAACAAGTCAGATAATGTGACGGTAGGCTGGGGATGGGGGGCACCCCCACCTGCCCGGGGGGTCTGAGCCTGGGCAGCAGCTGAGCCCCACCTCTCTCCCCTCCAGATCCGCATCTGGGGCCGCCCCAAGGCCATCGCCGAGAAGCAGGGCGACTATGCCCTCCAGGTGACTGGCCCCATCCTCAAGTTCTTCGAGGGGCACTACAAGACACCGTACCCGCTGCCCAAGTCCGGTGGGTGCCGCGGGGTGGCCAGGTCTCCGGGGGGAGCTGCCTGCCATAGGCGGGGGGTGGGCATCCTGGCAGCATCGTGCCAACAGGACCCCTCTGTCCCCCAGACCAGGTCGGCCTCCCCGACTTCAACGCGGGGGCGATGGAGAACTGGGGGCTGGTGACCTACCGGGAGAACTCCCTGCTCTTCGACAACAACTTCTCCTCCATTGGCAACAAGGAGCGGGTGGTCACTGTCATCGCCCATGAGCTGGCCCACCAGGTAGCCACTGGCCCCCCGCTCGCCCTGCCTGCCCTGCCGGCTGGTGTGGCCGGGCTGACGGGGTGCCATGCTCCCCTTGGCAGTGGTTCGGGAACCTGGTGACACTGAAGTGGTGGAACGACCTGTGGCTGAACGAGGGCTTCGCCTCCTACGTGGAGTACCTGGGTGCCGACTCGGTTGAGAAATCCTGGAATATCGTGAGTGCTGGGGCCGGCGGGCAGGGGGTGCAGGCGCCCTCTCTGCCCCGCCGGGGGCTTGCCCTGCTGCCCGGAGGGTGCAGGCAGGGCTGAAGTGAGTGCTGGAACCCCCCCTGCTCCCCGCAGAAAGACCTGATGGTGCTCAACGAGGTGTACACGGTGATGGCCACGGATGCCCTGGCCAGTTCCCACCCCCTTTCCTTCCCCGAGGCGGAGATCAACACCCCGGCCCAGATCAGCGAGGTCTTTGACAGCATCGCCTACAGCAAGGTGGGTGCACAGGGGGTCCTGGGGCGGTGGGGTGGGCTGGGGGGTGCCCCACGCACCCAGGGGTCTCTCACCCACTGTCTCCGCAGGGAGCATCAGTGCTGCGGATGCTCTCCGACTTCCTCACCGAGGACATCTTCAAGGAGGGGCTGCAGGTGAGGGGGACACCGAGCCCCAGCGTGGGGTGGGTGGCCCATGGCAGGCCCCTCCCCGGGTGTTCTGGGGGTGTCCTGCCCCCTGGACCTGCCCCTGCCCACGCGTCTCTCCTGGTGCTCTCCCACAGTCCTACCTCCACACCTTTTCCTACGGAAACACCGTCTACAAGGACCTTTGGGATCATTTGCAAACGGTAGGAGGGGGACGGCTGCTCCCCACAACCCAGCCCCTTCCCTGGCTCTGGGGGGCTGCCGGTGGGACGGGGTCCCCGACCCTCATGGCCCCGTGCCCCACGGCCCCGGTGACCCGTGGCACTGCCCTCCTCACAGGCCGTCACCAAGAACAATGTCTCGCTGCCCAAATCCATCAGCGACATCATGGACACCTGGACGCTGCAGATGGGCTTCCCTCTGGTGACCGTCAACACCCTCACCGGGGCCATCGAGCAGAAACACTTCCTGCTGGACCCCAACTCTGTGGTGGACAGACCCTCCACCTTCAAGTGAGTGGGGTGGGGGACACCAGGGGCGGGGGACTGGGGGGGGCCAGGGCTGGTGCTACGACCTGTCTGTCCCCCCCGGCACAGCTACACCTGGATTGTCCCCATCACCTGGATGACAAATATGACGACTGCGGCCACTGGGGACAGGTACTGGCTGACCAAAAAATCAGGTATGGCGCGTCCTGACCGGGCTGGGAGTGGGGGTCTTGCTGCCACCTCCCCTGCCCTGGCAGAGGATGAGGGGGGCTGAGCCTGGCCTCCTTCATGGTTGGGGAGCAGCTCCATCAGACCCTCCTCTCCCCCTCCCAGATACCAACGATACCTTCAAGGTGGGCAGCAACAACTGGCTCCTGCTGAACCTGAATGTCAGTGGGTATTTCCGTGTCAACTACAACCAGGAGAACTGGGAAAATCTCCTCACCCAGCTCTCCAGGGACCACCGGGTACGTGGGGCCAACCAGGGCCAGGGCGGGTACGTGGGGCCAACCAGGGCCAGGGGGTGGCCTGGGGGTGGACCCCACCCCACACACCCCAAGCACCCTGCTCGGGGCTGCCCTGAGACATCAATTCTGCCCTCTCTCAGAGCATCCCCGTGATCAACCGTGCCCAGATCATCGATGATGCCTTCAACCTGGCCAGGTGAGCTGTGCCGGGTGCCTGCTGAGGGCCAGGGGGGCCAGTGGGGTGGGTGTCCCGGGAGCTGACACTGCCCTCACCCCTCGCAGGGCCAAGTACATCAACGTGACCTTGGCCTTGGCCACCACGCAGTTCCTGAGCCGGGAAACAGAGTACATGCCCTGGGAGGCAGCGCTCAACAACCTCCAGTACTTCCAGCTGATGTTTGACCGCAGCGAGGTCTTCGGGGTGATGACGGTGAGCGGTGCCACCCCCTCCCAGCCCCTGCCCCAAACAGGGGCGAGGGACTGGGGCTGCCCCCAGAGCTGGGGTGGGGGGGGCTGCTGCTGGTGCCAGCAGGCGCTGACTGCCCTCCTGCCCCCCAGAAATACATAAAGAAGCAGGTGACCCCCCTCTTCAACCACTACAAGGATGTCACCAACAACTGGGTCAACATCACCCAGGACCTGATGGATCAGTGAGTGCCACAGGCCTGGGCGGGACCCCCAGGGTCACCCTGGCCGCAGCAGGACGGTCACCCCGGTGTGTGCTGGGGGGCACCGGCCAGTGGGTGCCTGACCGGTCCCCAGCCCCACATGGCCCCTTCTCTCCTCAGGTACAACGAGATCAATGCCATCAGCACGGCCTGCTCCTACGGCATCACCGAGTGCCAGGACCTGGCCACCAAATACTACGAAGAATGGAAGAACACCAGCATTAACAAGTGAGTCCCCAGGGTGTCCCGCTGCCACCACGGTGGGCGACCAGCCCACCAGGGGCTCCCAATGAGATGGTTCTTCTCTCCTGCAGGATCCCCCCAAACCTGCGCTCCGCCATCTACTGCAGCATCGTGGCCACGGGCGGGGAGGAGGCCTGGGACTTCATCTGGGAGAAGTTCCGAAATGCCACCGTCGTGTCTGAGGCTGACAAGCTCCGCACCGCCCTCTCCTGCAGCCCCCAGCCCTGGATCCTCAACCGGTGGGTGGAGGGTCCGGGGGGGGGG